TGGAACACCAGCCATTGTTGCTCCAGTTGTTGCACAGTCCACTGCTGCAAACTCCGGCTCAGCTGCAGGAGCTGCTCCCGCTATCTCTTGGCCATCTCTTCCATCAATTTCACGGGTTCCATCTCACCCTCTTTACCTCACTGGTTTTATCCCTGTTATGGCCCTCACACCACTGTACCTCCCCTAGGTTCGGGATGGTCTCTTGCCCACATTCTCCACCAAGTTGTCACAGGGTATGTCCTTGGCGTGGGGTGCGCCCCCTCCCTTACAGGCCCATTGTCCGCTCTATCAGGGTGAACACAACCCTAGTAGTCCCAACATAAAAGCCCATGTCCCCCTCTCAGGGTACATACAACATTATCAGTCTCACTATAAAGTTCATGCCCCCTCTATCAGGGTAAATACGGCATTAGAGGCCTGCCTCTCCGAGAATCCTCTCCTGGCCCAGGGTTTGATTATCCAGGGCAGGGAAAATGGGTGGTAGGGGGACCCAAGCCCTCCCTCTCCACCGGGTCCCAGCCCAGGGCCCTTTAGGCAGGGCCTATGGCTCCTGCCCGCTCGGCGGGGAATCCGGCCAATACACACTGAGCCAAGCTTTGAGTCTTTTGCCCTGGGCTGTTCCCCTGGGGCCCATTCGCCTCCGAGTCGGTACCTGCCGGGGTTGCGGGCGCGCTCCTGCCTCCCTGGGGTCAGCGGCTGCTGGCTCTGTCTCCAGGTCAGGCGCGGGCGGCGACTTCATTCTCAGCTGCTGCAGAAACACCCAGGAAAGAAAATGGAAACAGAATTTGGGGTTTTGAATTGGAAGCAGTGATGTGCCTGTTGTTGTGTGATCATGCCTGGAAGATGTGAATTAAGCCAGGAACCTGGGCAAGCAGAATCCAGCGACTTTCTTGGCCAGGGAAAGACTAAATCTTGGAACAAGAGAGATGTGAGTAGAACAGGGAATTTTTAGTCAGACGCTACTAGGTTATTTTCTTTATTTTTTTAGTTTGTTGGACTTCTTTTTGCTAAGCACATGTAACTATCCCCCTTTACCCTAGAACTCTTCAAACTGAATCCCAGGGAAGCGATTTTCTGTGTTTTAATCTTTCTTTTTTCAGTTTCTTTGTAACACCTAGCAACCAAGTAGATACGCTGGAGGGCAGTAGATATGCTGGAGGGCAGGGATAGGGTCCAGAGTGACCTAGACAGATTAGAGGATTGGGCCAAAAGAAATCTGATGAGGTTCAACAAGGACAAGTGCAGAGTCCTGCACTTGGGATGGAAGAATCCCGAGCATAGTTACATGCTGGGGACTGAATGGCTAAGTAGCAGTTAAGCAGAAAAGGACCTGGGGGTTACAGTGGATGAGAAGCTGGATATGAGTCAACAGTGTGCCCTTGTAGCCAAGAAGTCCAGAGGCATATTAGGTTGCATTAGGAGGAGCATTGCCAGCAGATCCAGAGAAGTGATTATTCCCCTTTATTCGGCTCTGGTGAGGCCACATCTGGAATATTGTGTCCAGTTCTGGGCCCCCCCACTATAGAAAGGATGTGGACGCACTGGAGAGGGTCCAGCGAAGGGCGACCAAAATGATTAGGGGGCTGGAGCGCATGACCTATGAGGAGAGACTGAGGGAGTTGGGTTTGTTTAGACTGCAGAAGAGAAGAGTGAGGAGGGATTTGATAGCAGCCTTCAACTTCCTGAAGGGAGGTTCCAAAAAGAGGCTGGAGAAAGGCTGTTCACAGTAGTGACAGATGCCAGAACAAGGAACAATGGTCTCAAGTTACAGTGGGGGAGGTCTACGTTGGATATTAGGAAAAAACTATTTCACTAGGAGGGTGGTGAAGCACTGGAATGGGTTCCCTAGGGAGGTGGTAGAATCTCCATCCCCAGAAGTTTTTAAGTCTCAGCTTGACAAAGCCCTGGCTGGGTTGATTTAGTTGGGATTGGTCCTGCCTTGGGCAGGGGGCTGGATTTGATGACCTCCTGAGGTCTCTTCCAGCTGTATGATTCTATGATTGTGTGCATGCGTCTTGTCCCAGTGCAGAGGCTCCTTCTATAGGCCCCAAGCAAAGCAGGAAAGAAAATGAAATACAAATGTGACCCCCCCCCAAGCAATCATCTCTCCTCTCCCTGCCCAGCCTCCTAGGGTCCTCAGTACTGTCTACACTTAGGAGTTTAAAGTAGCAGGGGCCTTAAGCTGAAAGTGAGGCCATGGCTCCGGTTTGGGTTGCCAAGTGTCCGGTTTTGAACCGGACAGTCCAGTATTTGAGCTTTTTGTTCAGGAAACAAATTGAGAAAATAGAACTGTCCGGTATTTTCTAAATAAGATGTCATGTAGATTGTGATGTAACGTCAAGTGTGTCTGGTGTTTTTGCTGAAACCATCTGGCAACCCTAGCTCCGGTGTTGGGAGATTTCTGTAAACCACCATGTGTGTACCGATCCAGTACACATCTCCCAAAGTGGATTAAAACATTTGGTCTAGGGGCGGGAGGTGGGGGACTAGAGAGAGAAAAGGTTTTACACTCAGGTGGCACTAATCTGCCCAATCAGTTCCTTCTGCTGACAAGTCCCACTCCTGCCTTGTCAGAGAGGAGTGGGCAGGGGGGCGGACATGTTGCTGCATGGGGCTGTGCTGGCAGGAGGCAGGTTCAATCCTAGATCAAGTTTGTATGGCCTGAACTGAAGTTGCCTGTTGTGACACTGCCATGTGTGTGCCACCCCCTCAGGCACATGCAGCTTCAGAAGGGCACCTGGAAATTTGATGCCCCAAATTTTCAGGTACCCTACGCAGCTGTGTAGGTTGCATATGCCTAAGGACAGCCCTAGTCCTCTCCCTAGTTCAGGGAGGGGAGTAAAAGCAAGTGGGTTGGGGGGCTAGGAGCCAGAGCCAGGGAGAAAACCCAAGACTTCTGACTCCCTGCCCCACCCCCTTCTCCCTTCCCAGAGCTTGGGAGAGAACCCAGGAGACCTGCTCTCACGGGGAGGGGGGGTCGGCAGGAAGGTCACAAGGAGGCAATGGCAGGTGTGTGACATGTGTGACTAGTTGTGAGTCTGTCTAGTGCAGTGGGTTTTCAAACTTTTGTTCTCATGACCCAGTTGAAGAAAATTGTTGATGCCTGCAACCCAACATAATTTGACTAGAGTGCAGGCTCCAGAGTGGGGCTGAGGATGAGAGCTTGGACTATAGGAGGGGACCTCATCTTTGGAAGGATGAGTTTGGGTAGGGCAAGCGGGGCTTAGCTTGAGTGACTTTAAGTCAGCGGTGTAATGAGGGGTGGGGGCTAAGGCAGCTTCCTGTCCCTCCTGGCACTGCAGACCATGCTGTGCCCCAAAACCAGCCAGCAGCAGGTTCTAACCAATGGAAGTACGGAGCTAGTGCTCAGGACAGGGGCAGTGTGTGGAGCCCTCTGCGCTCACCCACACCGCAGGTGCTGGGCCCACTGCTGGGTGCAGCGCAATCTGGAGTGCCAGAAGAGGCAGGTGGCTGCCTTAGCACCCCCACTGGTCACCCTGCAGGAATGAGACCCAGTGCCCGACATTCCACATCCCAGTACTGGATTGCCACCCCATAGCTTGAAATCCACTGCTCTAGTGGAGGAGGGGGGAGGGAAGGTGCACAGAAATAGCTGTGTGCCCAGCCAGCAGGGGGCAGCAAATACACACACAGAGCAGGGCTCACCCCTCCCGCAGGGGGCAGCAGCTGATCTCTATCTTCTCATACACTCTCTTTGGGATGGGCCTGCGGGGGCAGCAGGGGGCGTTCTCCCCTGGTAGGCAGGGCTGGCCGAAGGCAACACTAGGGGGCGCTGTGGGGCAGGGGCTCAGCAGGGAGCTCTCCCCTGGCAGGCAGGACTGGCCCCCGGGGTGCTGTGAGGCAGGGAAAGGGGTGGGGACTGAATGGTAGAAGATGGATTTGAGGGACTCATAAGATCAGGGAGGGAGTTTTCTACATCTTCTCATGTATTGTGTTCAAGAAGCTGACACCGTGTATCTCTCGGCACAGCTCTGACAACGCTTCTTTCAAGCCCCATTCTGCCCCCAAACAACTGCACCAGATGGGGGAGGGGATCACGGCCCCCTCCTATTCCCCCTTGTTTGTATTCATAGCTCCTGGGCCTCCCTCTCCCTTATTGCCCCTTCCTCTCCTTTCCCTGCTTGCTCCTCTGGTATCTGCCCCCTGCCCCGATTCTCTCTTTGGTTCCGCCCTTATTTCTCCCTTTATAGCCCTTACTCCTCCTTCCAGCCTCCCCCTGCCCTAATAATAAGCCCCCGCTTTGCACCCTCAGGTCATGAAATTCAGCCCCCCAATCTTGCACACACACCCTTGGTTCAAGGGACTGGTGACCCCTAGATCTGCACAGCCGAGAGAATAAACCACGTTTCTACGAATCTACCCGGCTCCATGTGGCTCTGTGGGACTCCGAGCCGGAATCCAGTTCCGGAATTACGTATATCCGGAGCAGGGAATGGGGAGGGGCTGTGTGGGACTCTTGGCCGTATTCCAGCTTCGGGTTTTACCCAAGTCCTGAGGTGGGAGGGGCTGCGTGGGACTCCGAGCTTGGATCCAGCTCCAGGTTTTACCCATAGCTGGGCTGACTCCTATGCCGTATTTGGGATTTACCATAATTCCCTGCCCGAGTAGGAGCAGCTACCTCCCGGCTCCGATGCAGGAGGCCGCTGTGATCTAGCTCCGGGATTTACCCACCTCCCGGCCAAGTGGCTGCCATTTAACTCCGTTAAATGTTCCTGGCCTTCCAAATGGCCAGCGCGAGAGAGTGGATCTCGCTCCGGGTTTTCCTCATTCCAGTTCCAAGCTTTGCCTGTCTACACCTCTGCTTCTCTGCCCCTCCTCCCATCCCCAACCCCTCCCTGCACCCCCCAACCCAGCCTCTCTGCCTGATCCCTGTTCCCAACTCCTCTACTCATCCCCCTCCCCTGTGTGTGTTGCTGCACTACTCATCCCCCAACCTCTGTCCCTCTCCCTCTCTATCTACCCTTCCCCACACATCCCATCTATCTATCCATCTGTCACCAAGGGTCCATCCAGCCAGTGTCCTGTCTGCCGACAGTGGCCTATGCCAGGTGCCTCAGCGGGAGTGAACAGAGCAGGGACCCTGTCGCCCATTCTCAGCTCCGGGCAAACAGAGGCTGGGCCCCCATCCCTGCCCAGCCTGGCTAATAACCACTGAGCAACCTATCCGCATGGACCAGCTGGGCTCTCTGCCTGGCTAAAATCTATGTCCCCCCTCTCAGGCTGTGGATCCGAATGCCCCTGGGACCCCTTTCCCTCTCCTTGTGAGCTCTGGGTCCCAAAGGGTTAAAAATCCCCCCCCCTCCAGAACAGGTGGTGCCTGCAGATTTCCTGTGGCATGAGGCTCCTCCCCCACCCCCAACTCTCCAGCCCCCTCCCACACCCCGCTCTGGTGAGAGCTGCTGTGGCCAAGGAGGTGGCTGGAGGGGGAGGCAGGGTGCCAGCTGGGCCTCCAGGAGCCAGACGGACACACGGATGCAGCCATGGCACGGAGGGCCCCAGTTCTGGTGACCCTCTGGCTTATCCCCACTGTGGGTAAGTGCAGGCTGCCCCTTGGCCAAGCCCCAGCAAGAGTCAGGGGGCACCTGGCCCTGCTAGAGAGTGGGAAACGGGGCTAGAGAGAGATCAGGTAGAGCCATGGGCTATGAGGCAAGATATGGGGACATGGATTAGAGATCGGAAGGGAGGTGAGTGGGGTGTGGGATGGATAGACAGAGGGGGTAGATGGGGGATAGATACATAGAGGGTGTGGGATGGACATACATTTTTGGGGGGAGAGCAAGTGTGGTGGATGGGGTAGATACATAGAGATGTGTGTGTGGAATGGATGGCTAGATGGGAGAATGGGGGAACAGATAGATAAGGTATGTGGGGAAGGATGATGAGTGGGGGACAGATGAATGGATAGCAGGGTGTGGAGATGGAAGGAGGGGGTATATACTGATGCATGGATGGAAAGACAGAGAGGTTCAGGGGGATGGATGGGTACTGCGATGTGGGGAGAGGGGTGGAGAGATCTCTAGACAAAGGAGATGGGGATAAATAGGAGGGGGCACAGATGGGGTGCGAGTTGAGGGATAGATCTGAGGTATGGGGGCAGACAGCTGGATGCCGAGGATGGGGTGTGGGGATCGAAGTGTGGCAGGATGGGTGGAGAGAAGAGGGTGCGGGGATGGAGGGATGAACAGAGACAGAGGAGTGCGTCCTGTGGGAAGGGCTAGATGGGATGGGGTAGTTACATTGTTCTGTGTGGGAGGGAGGCAATGTGTGAGGAGGGATGGACAGGGGCAGATGAGGAGGGAGGGAGGGAGGGATAGGCAGCTCAGTAGACCGCTATGGCCCAGGGAGCAGTGCCGGGCAGTAGAGAGATGCAGTGGGAAACAGGACCCTCACACACACAGTTTCTCTCTCCGGGCAGTGGTGGGCAGCCTGCAAACTGAGGAGCGTCTGCTGGAGAAGTTGTTTGAGAACTACAACTCCAACGTCCGCCCCGCCCGCACTCTCACCGACAAGGTGTTCATCCGGGTGGGCATGTCCCTGTCACAGCTCATCAGCCTGGTGAGGAATTGGAGCCTTGGCAGGGTGTTCTAGCTTAACATTCTAGGCCAGGTTCTATGTCTGTCTGCTGTGCCATGGCTCCTGATCCTTAGCTGGCCAAAAAGAGATCATATTCTTGCTTCACTTCCTAGTGGAAAGGCAAATCAGCTACTCGTGCAGTTCTCGACCATGTTCTAGACTGGTCTAGTTCCCATGACTTCTGGTCCTTGATGGTCAAAAAGGGAATGCTATCTAGATTATCACACCAGAGGGCATTCTAGGCTGCACAACCATTTGCCCTTTTCTAGCACAGTTGTATGGAACTGCCACTCATGCTGCTCGGAGAAGACGCTCCTCTAGACTTGCTCTCATTCTAGATTGCTTTCCAATGCTATTTCTAGAGTGGTCTTGAACATAGCCACTCTTGAGCCACCCTGGCTAGCAGGTGCTGTATTCTTAGATTACATTCCTTGCTGCAGCCCGGGCCAATCAACCCTCTGAGCTATTCTATACCTTGCTCTAGAGCAGCCCAGAACAGCACCATGCCATAGCCACAGGATACTACATCCCAGATTTTCTCCCTAGCGACATTCCTGACCAAACGCCAGTGCCATTCTAATCCACACTCTAGAGCAGACTAGCTCACTCCTGCTCCTGGGATATGCTGGCTATGTTCTAGATTAGTTTCTGGTACTTTATTCCAGGCCGGGGCCAAAGCCATGCTAGAGTCACCTAGAATGCTGTAGCTAGGGCTGTGACACCTGGACCTCTCATGCTAAATTAGTTTCTTGAGGCAGCCAGTGTCCATGGAAGGGAAGGCAGCAGAACCCCCAGCTCTGGCAGGGAGAGAGTTAAGGGCCTCTCACCCGCCTCCTTGGCCAGGGGACAGAGACAGCAGCTGTCACGGAGGCCCCTGGCACCGGCCAGAGACAGGGGATGTTATAAATAGCGGTATAAGGGGAAGGTAGTGGGGAGGAAATGAATTCAGAGTGGAAGGGTCAGCTGGATACATGCACCGGATTGGCACCCCGGGGTAGTCCATTTCAGACCCATTTGCCCCTCCATAAAATGCCCTTCACTATCCCATACCCCAGAAAGGGTTCTATGTCCTCACATACCTCCAAAGAGAGCAGCATTCTCAAGGGTACACAGGGGAGGGGGCATGATTCTGGAGTCGAGGGGGTATCCCCTGAATTACTTTTTAATCCTTTCTCCCCCGCCAGAATGAAAAGAACGAGGAGCTGACCACGAAGGTGTACATGGACCTGGTGGGTACTATCCCCCCAACACATTCCCATGCCTACTGCCCCCCGTACTCTATCCCAGATGGGGGGTGTCTGCCTTCCCCAATCTAGCTCTTAGCGCTGGGGCAGGGACTTAGTGTCATCTGGTGGCTGCTGGGACAAAGTGTAGAGGTAGATTTCTGGTTTGGTGGGGGCTTTGTGGTTTATAAAAAGGGAGTAGAGGATGAGGAAATATGTCCCAGCTCTGATTCCTTGTTTATAACAGGAGCCAGTGGGGTTGGTCCATTTCCAGCACAGCCATGGATGGTGTAGCGGCGCGTCGGGGTTCCCCCACCTCCTGCACCCCCGTAATGGCACGAACAGACTCTGCCAGCCAGTAGAATATAGGGAGTTTATTGCTTCTCCACAGCATAGATGTAATCTGGTTACAGGGCAGGCCTAGGATGCCTCAGCCCCCCTTGAGATGGGGGAGACTGGGCCCCTAAATCCCAGCCCGTTGCTTAGGCTGCTTCCTCCATGATACCAGACAGAAACTAAAACTCACTTCCAGCCCTGCACCCCAGCCAGGTGCTGGTCTCCGCCTTCCTCCCTTTGTCTCCCTCCCTGGGAGGCTGAGCCTGGGTGTCTGGGTTAATACACATTTGGGAGAGTCAGTGAGAATCTCCCATCACAGCGCAGGGGGACCCTGGGTCACAGAGCAGACATCCCCCCCACTACGCCACAGATGGTTAATGGGGGATGGAGTAAGAGAGCACTCTGTGCCTCAGTTTCCCCATATGTGCATGGGGCAAATAGCCCTGCCCAGTCTCACAGGGTGAGGTGGGTCTGGGAGGACAATCACAAGGACTTTCTTTCTTTCTTTCTTTGACCATCCCCCTGTCCATTGGGTCTCCAGGAGTGGACGGATTATCGCCTGAGCTGGAATCTGTCTGACTTTGATTACATCAGCTCCATCCGGTTGTCTTCTGACAAAGTCTGGCTCCCGGATATCTACCTCATGAACAAGTGAGCTGGATTGGGAGGGCATGGGGGCAGGGGAACATCCAGGGTCCCCAGGACAAGAGAGCCAGGGGGTGAGAGCAATAAAGCCACAGCCCAGCTGGCAGATGGGTTCCTTCTGCTGTGCGACACCCTTTCTTCTTTTTTCATTCTTTCAGCAATGATGGTAATGTTGACATCGCCCTACCTGTGAATGTCTTGGTCTCTCATGTGGGGACCGTTCAGTGGCTTCCCCCCGCCCTCTACCGCAGCAGCTGCAGTATCCAGGTGAGCTGGCCCCCTCTGCTAGGGGGTGCTGTGCTGCGGGGTAGGTGGCCCAGTGGGGGGTGCTGTACTGTGGTGGGCAAAGGGGACCCAGCAGGAGGTGCTGTATTGTGGTGGGCAGAGGGGACCCAGCAGGGGTTTTTGTGCTGTTTAGGGTTTAAGAGGCCGAGCAGGGGGCATTGTGCTGTGGGGGGTAAAGGGGGCCCAGCAGGGGGCACTGTGCTGTGGAGGATAGAAGGGGACCAGCTGGGGATGCG